TCTTTCCCTGTTTCCTACCAAATGATTCTGTTTGGTGTTTTGCATGCTTACCAATGGGTATTTAAATAATTAGACCAGTCAGGTAATTTTAAGTGAACATAATTAAGATTAAGTAAAATAATGAAAGAATTTGAAAGTAGGAGTTGCTTTGGTGTTTTGCATTGTGGTATTATTCTTTGCTTAGTGAACCTAGACATTTAGTCATAGACATTTAGTAGGTAGATAAAACAGAATCATTTATTGTCTCTATGTGTGTTAGTATGGATAATTTTGTGATTTTGTTGTACTTTTGAAAATCAGGGTTTTGGTTTTTTTGTTTGTTTTTGCCTTTTCCTTCATTTCCTTTCATTTTCTAAATGGAGCTCAGATTCTTAGTCAGAATTTGAATCCTTTAGTTCTCTTTTTATCCTGTGACATTTATTGCTTTTCTAGACATTAGTCAGGTTAGCAAACGCTTTTCTCCAAGGGGTCATACTTGGAAAAATCAAATTTTCCTCTCATCCATTGTACTTCTTTACCATGTGTTGAAACCAGTTTAGGTGTGGGCTTAAATTATATTGCAAACCTTCCTGGATGTAACCATTTTATAGCCTGTTTGTATTTCACATACAAGTTCTATGTGAATTGGACTAGCTCAGAGTCACCTTTCAACTCCTTTGCTGTCATTATTTGTAATGTTAAGTTGATGACTCTCTTTGCCACTTATCTAGGGTCCTTTGACTATTCACACTTTGATCCACAAAAGTCAGCTGATTTTTGAGGAAGTGTAATTGTAGTCTGAATAATTATTATGATTTTTTAGGAGAGAAATACGTAGTAAATTGTTAAATGTCTCCAACATTCCAGGTACAGGTCCAAAACACAAACTAAGATGAGCTCTTTGGCAAGCAGATCATAAAGGTTTTGTAGGTCATCGTAGGAGCTTTGGCTTTTACTCTGGGAGGTGGGGAGCCACTGACCTCTATACTGAGACTAGGGAAGCAAGAATGGGAGTTTAGAAACTAATTAGGGTGCTATTGCAATAATCTAGACAAGACATGGTAGAACTTGGGCCATAATGGTATTAGTGGAAGGGCTGAGAAGTGACCAGATTATATTTGAAGGTGGAGCCAACAAGCCAGTTCGCTGGTTGGATTGGATGTGGGAAGTGAGAAACAGAAGAGTGAAGAATTTTGGCTAGAGCAGCCGCAAGAATGAAGTTATTTTTTAAAATAAGGAAGACTGGGAGAAGCAAGTTTGAAAGTGGGACTGACCAGGAGCTCAGTTTGGACATCTTAAGTTTGAGGATCTTATTAGATACACAGATAGAAATAAGTGAGTCTGGAAATGAAGGGAGAAGTACAGACTGGAGATACAGATTCAGGCTTTTAGCAAATAGATGGTGTTTGAAGCCATGAGATTGAGTGAGATCATCAAGGGAAGTGTACTTAGGTAGAAGAGAAAAGCTTAAGACTAAGCCCTGGAACATTTAGAGATTAGGAAGATGAGGATGCATTAGTAAAGGATGGACCAGAGAAAGAGAATGAAGATACAGAATTTTGTTTCCAAATAAGTAAGTCAAGTGTGTGGGGAAGCCCTTCTGTTTTTGCAGGGTTCTTTCCCTTTGCAAGCTCTGCATTCTCTTTGTTCCTCACCAGTAGAGGAACCCCAAGGAGGACAGATGAGTTTTTGCAGATGTAAAACCATGGCATACATTTTGATTTCAGGTGTGAGGCAGTCAGCTATGGAGAAGTGCCCACTCATGAAAAACATGCACCTTTTATTCTACCTCAGAGAATTCATAAAAGAAAAGAGCCCTGTGAATATAAAGGAACTGTGAAGAACTTTTGTTAGTGGCTGCCAATTTACCGTCCTTCAGAGATTTCAAACTGGTGAAAAAACATGAATGTAAAAAGGATAGGAAGGCCTCTATTTCTGCCTCACACATTGTTCAACATGAGCAAATTCATAGTGATGGGAAACCTAATAAAGGTCAAGAACTTAGAAGAAAAAAAGTGTGTGTGAAGAGGCAGAGTGGGGAGTGGTTAAGCCCAGAATGTACTTCTCACTCGCTAGTTCTCAGTCTCTTGCATTCAGCAGCTTACAGATTACCCAAAATACAAAAAATTTATATTTACCCTGGCATTTGACACAGATTTTGATGCAGCAAATTCTTTTCCATTGAAAATGAGATGTTTTCTTAAGGCATATGAACATCTGGCCTGAAGCACCCATTTCCAAATTTAGAAAACCTAGAAAAAACTATTTTCCCCTGGTAACAATATCCAGATTTTAATTTATTCATAAAAAAAAAGATTTTTTCAAATTGAAACCATGCAAAAGCATGATTTACTGAATTTTCAAAAGGAAATTACTTCTTCAGATGGTAGGGTCTTTGCATACAAACAATACAGGGAGGTATATAAATTGACCACATGAACTAGAACGAGTAAATATTCATTTTCAATGTAAATATAACCTACATGAATTCAACTTTTTTTTAAAAGCCACTGGACATCTTTCAAGAACACTGTTAAACAGAGGAAAAGTGAAAGCTGAACAGTGGACAACATTTTTGTGACACATACATTTATAGAAGAAAATGTGTCTCTACTACTGCATGTTGTCTGCTGCCTGGCTGGGGGATAGCACAAAGGTGAATTGAGAACCTTGTCCAGTCTGGTTGTTGTGTTTCTTTGACATTCCAGTAAAGTTAATGCTTTGATGCCCAAATGGGCAAAGCAAAGTCAGAGCCTGAAGTGAGCAAGAACCTTGTTTGCAGGTGATGTCAGAAACGTGATCATAAAGCTGGTTTAATTAGAAAGTGCAAACCCTCATAAGTGCATGCTTCCTCAATTCTCAAAAACATCGTTCAAATTGAACGGACACATTCAAAACCAAACATCTAGTAATTCAAGGCTGCAGAGATCTCCATGCCTCTATTTTATTACACTGAGATAAAATCTTAAAAGTACCCCATGATCTTACTTACAAAATCTCTGGAATTTTAAAAAACTGTGCCTATGATATCACATTTGTTTCATTATCACGGAGTCCTCAAAACCCAGAAATATCTGGTAAATGTACTTAAAATTATAATTTCACATAGTATGCCTTTGATACATGTTAGCAAGCATAGGAAAAAGATATTAGAAGTCTTTTAGAGTCAAAGGCAGCTGTGCGAAATTTTCATGTTTATGTAAATGAAGAAGTCAAACAGAAAATCTAAAATAACACCACCAAAGAAAAGGGAAACTAAACTGGAAACACTGAGGAAAAACCAGTCTTGCACCTATGTTTTCCTAAGTTTATTGACCCAAGTGACGAAGATTTGAGGAAATTTTTTAAAAAAGGAATATTAAAAAGCAGCATATACTAAGACATTTATGAAATTATTGAAAAGGATAACTCATTTAATCAAAATTGTTAGAGGATATTGATTACTCAAATCTTAGCTTTAACCCTGACCATCTCTGTTAAATTAGGCTGAGGTCTAACTTTATGTGTAAACTAATGACTCTTTTTATTCCCAAGACATTCACTATTAGGAGTATTGAAGTATTTTCAAGATGCTAGAATCTTTTATAAAAATACACTGTGATAATGATAATATTGAAAGAAAGGGAAATGAGAGTAATGAAGATTTAATATTACAAGAAACATATCCTTCTATTTTTCAAATAATAGAATTTTATTTTTTCACATTAATTTTATTTTTTTTAATTTTTATTTTGTATTGGAACATGTTTGATTAATAATGTGTTAGTTTCAGGTGTACAGCAAAGTGATTCAGTTATACATATACATGTATCTATTCTTTTTCAAATTCTTTTCCCATTTAGGTTATTGCAGAATATTGAGTCACGTTCCGTGTGCTATACAGTAGGTCCATGTTGGTTATCTATTTTAAATATAGCAGTGTGTACATGTCAATCCCAAACTCCCAATCTATCCCCACCACCCACCCTTCCCCACTGGTAACCATAAGTTCGTCCTGTTAAGTCTGTGAGTCTGTTTCTGTTTTGTAAATAAGTTCATTAAATAATAGAATTTAAATGGTGATAAATAATGGCTGTGTATAGTAGCACTCAATATTTAAATTGACCATTAAATTTATATATATAAAAGTATATGTGATTATATATCCTTCGCTGTGTAAAAAGCTTTTTAGTTTGATTTAGTTCCATTTCTTTATTTTTGCTTTTGTTTCCTTCGCCTAAAGAGACAGATCCAACAACTGCTAAGAACAATGTTAAAAAAGCATACTGCCTATGTTTTCTTCTATGAGTTTCATGGTCTTAGGTCTTACATGTTGGTCTTTAATCCATTTTGACTTTATTTTTGCATATGGTGTGAGAAAGTAGTCCAGTTTGAATCTTTTGCATGTGGCTGTTCAGTTTTCCCAGCACCATTTATTGAAGAGGCTATCTTTTCCCTATTATA